TTTTTTGTGTGTGTGTGCGTTTGACTGACTTGCCCAGCGCATGTATACATCACACATTTAATGAATAATAAATTTTAATTTTTAAAAGTATATTATATAAATAGCTTAATCACTCCGTTATCTTTTATTTTAAAACATAATATACCAAAAAAAAAATTTCTTCTACTCTATTTTTATATAGTGCTTATTTATTATTTTTTTAACAAGTAATAATATCATGCCATTATTTGTTAAAGTTTAAGATATTTATTAAATTTAAAAATATATTTTTATTTAATTTGTTATTAAAATAAATTAATTTTAATTTTATTTAACTTGTGTAATTATTCAACACTTTTTTTAATTTGATTTTTATGATTTAATATTATAATAATATGTGTTGCATCTTATCGTTTTAGTAATGGATAGAGTCTCAAGCCTCATTTGCATCTTGGTCCTGCCCCCTAATTAGGATTACAAACTAATTGGTTAAGTCAAAAAACTAATTTTGGCGTCTAGGCCAAATTTTATATTATGACCTTCTTAAAATTATAATATATATTTTTTTGAAATAAATATAATTTATATTTAAATAAATTTAGATAAATTCTATGATTAAAAGCTGCCCATCTTAATCGCCGGATTTACCCGTTCCTTTATCGATCCAGGGGGAAACAAAGATGGCCGGAACCCTAACGCCGAGGCGGTCGAACTTAAACTTGAAGGGATCGGGGCCTACGATGCCGTCGGGACTGGGCACGCCGTCTACCGGCGTGGGGACGTGGTCGAAGAAACCGCCATGCTCGTCGTAAGTGATGACGAAGAGGATCTGGTTCCACTGCGGGCTGGAGCGGAGGGCCTCGTAGACCTCCTTGATGAACTTCTGCCCCTCAGCGACGTCATGGGAGGGGTGGTCGTCGTTGCCTGGAAGGATTTTGAGGTCGAAGTAGCGTTGTTCCACCACCACGTAGTTGGGAAGCTTCCCTTCCTTGCAATGTCTCTTAAAGCTCAAGTCAAATGGGTGAAACCGGTCTATGTATTTCAGCTTACGTAGGTTCCTGCGCAGTATTTGAGGTCAGAAACCCTTTTTAATGGCAACCGATAGTGAGAATATCATAAAAATGATAGTTTTATTTAAACTCATTTTGAATGTGAAAAAATATTAAAATTTTGAATTTTGTAGAATATCATAATATTTTAATATATTTTCCATATATTTAGAATGAATAAAATTGTTTTAGGATCATCTATCTTTATACGAAAAAATTATTGTATCAGGACACTGATGCAATGCAAATTTGTATCAGATGTCCAATAACAGGGGCTACATGACAACACGGACCCAAACCGTGTATGTCAGTGAACCCAAATTATCATGTGGCCCCTATTATTGGACACCTGATGCAATAATTTCTCCTTTATAAGGCCATCTCAAAACCAATTCATTCAAATTTAAAATCTATGTGGACAAGAAATTAAGTGTATCATGATAGAAAACTTTTAATAAAATTCAAAATTTTTAGGAATTTTAATGACTTATAGAGTTGAAAATCAATGTTAGATTGTAATTTTATTAAACAAATGATAAAATATAGGGGATTCGCATAGATAGAACTCCATAGATCAAGATTTGCATTTTTTAAACTTAAATTTTACTATTTAAATCATATATTATTTAATGAACTCTTAATTATACTTGTTATATGCATAATGTAAGCGACTTGTCGTGATGTGAAATATATTATTTCATAAACTCTCTCAAAGGTGAAACATATCTTAATAAATTTATGATATCAAAATATTATAGGCCTAAATATTAATATTTAGGCATTGGTTATATAAGTACATAAAAATATTATGTTATATGCAAACGCACACGCGTGACTTTGTAAGCGTTTAAGGTTTTCCGCCAGTCCTGCGTCATCAAACGCTTATTATGCAGCGCATATTCGCGGCTTTATCATTAAATTTGTTTATAATAAGATAAGAGAACACTAGCTTTCTCAGTTCTCGATACATGTGAATATCAAATCCCATGTCCGTGGATTTCAAAACAAAGACTCAAATTTTAAACAATTGTTAATGACAATTTTCCAATTTAGTCTTACTTAAGAAAAAAAAAATAAAAATTACGTATAAAATTTGATTTTGTGGTGTGGTGGCGTCTTGAAAATGCATCGAATTTGTTTCGGTAAATTGTGTTTTGGCAGGTTATTAATTTTGAAAATCCTGAAAATAGCGTTTTCACACCGCATCTTTTAGGTGTGGTGACAGCTTTCTGGAAGCCTGGGAAGCGTAATTTCTTTTAAAAAAAAATAAAAATTTATAATAACCACCGTACCTAACTATTTATCGGTTTATTTTTAATCAGTTTATCAACAGATTATTCAACAAGTTGCAGTTATCCCAAACACCAAACAGACCCCCAAGAAGAGGGAAAAATATTATATCAGGACTGCTAACGTAGAGCTACGTTCGGATTGGAATATTCGGCTGTGTTACGAGAATATTTCATATGTGTTATTTATAAAAATAATGTGTTATTTGAGTATTATATGATGTTATTCGATTATTTTGCGTTGTTATTGAAATATTTCATCGCGTTACTTGATTTGGGGCTGAAGTGTTATTGGAATATTACTTGATTTGGGGTTGTTTTATTCCAATAAAATAGTGGAAATTGAAACAACACCGAGAATATGTCAAATAACATAGCCCCAAATCAAGTAACGCGATAAAATATTTCAATAATACCGTAAAATAATGGAATAAAATTATATAATACTCGAATAACACATTATTTTTATAAATAATACAGATAAAATATTCTCATAACACAGCCGAATATTTAAATCCAATCGTAACTCTAGATTTTAGGAGTTAATATTTTTCCCGCACCTGTAGAAAAGAGTGGCCGGCGGATATTGATAATAAATACCAAAGTCAAAACCCGCCTCATCCAGCGAATCAAAAATGGTCTTCTGCGGCAAACCTTCAACGAGCTTCTTCGTAACGTTGCTCGTCATCCCATGCGACGTGGCCGAGTGCACGAACAACCGGTTCGGTTGAGTCGAAGACGGCCGACGCGAACCACCGGTCGCAGACCGCGAACTCCGACACCAACTCCCGATAAACCGGCACCGAATCTGGCCGAAACCCGTTCATGACCGCCTCCGATAACCCCTTCTCCTGCCCCTCCGCCTGCTGCACAAAACCGTTCATCGGGGGCGTGACGCCGGCGGGGTTAATGGGGGTTTCGCCGGCGGAGAAGGGGACTCCATAGACTTGCTCGTAGATGGCTTGGATGGAGTGGCCCGGGTCCGGGTCGACATATTCGGCCCTGTCGGAGAAGAGGACCGTTGCGGAGGATGGGCCGGTGGTGGAGATTGGGTTCGATTCGGAGCCTGTGACGCCGTCGATTTCTGGGTTTAGGGATTTCATCCAGCCGAGCATGTGATCGAAGGAGCGGTTCTCTTGGACGAGGATCACGACTGTGCGGATTGGGGTTGAGGATGAGGACATGATTGGATGGATGTTCTTTGATTGATTGATTGATTGATAGACCGAAGGTTTGTTTCTCTAAAAATCGTATTTTTATAAGTAAGAGTGGGGATTGCTTGGGACGAGAAGGAAGGGATATCCGAGGATAAATTCTTCGATGGGGGGAGGAGGATGGAAGGAAATGATCGGGTTGGTGAGAAGTTTCAGAGGTGATAAGGGATTGGAGATCTGATGACCGGAGGTGATGTTACTCTCTGAATTGTATGGGTGGTGTGGAGTATATTGGAGTATGGGAAAATTCAAGTTTGGATGAATGTCTTAATAAACTATTTTGTGATCATAATTTTTATTTTATCTTTTTTTTTTTTCATTTGAAAGCTAAAATTTTGAAGATGTTAAATATCATTAAAAAAACTTGAGGGATTTTTTTTTTTTCTGGTTGATTATTTTTAAATTGGACTAACAATTGAAAGTAAATTTAAAGTTTAAGGAGTTTACAAAGATAAATTAATTTTGAGATCTAAATTAATTTTGATTTATTGCTCATTATTTGTACAAAAATTGCTTAGTTGTAACTTTTCACATAATAAAATTATCAATTCAAAATGAAAATTAAAATTAATAATTAATATTAACTAGTTGAAAGGAATTTGCTATCAAATGTTAATGTTTGGATAAACTTAATATTTTTGTTTGTCAAAAGAAAATAACATGGATTTGTAAGAAAAAGAGAGGAACCCAAATGGATTGTAAAAGTTGTAGACTCTACAAAGAAATTAAAAAAATATATATATAGTTGTAGCCTCTCATTAGATTGCACAATTTTTTTTTGATGAAATGTGAGGGACACACCCAGCTTTAGCGAACATAAAATAGGATTAGTGCTCAAAGAAAAAAATAAAATAATATGTGAAAGTTCAACACAAGAAAAAACAAATAACATACCAACAAACAACAAGAACTCTAAGCCTACCGAAAGAGACAAAACTAAAAAATGGTGAATAGGTACAAAAACCAAGCCTTCAATCAAAGATGAAACAACCAAAATAACCAACATATCCAAATTTCAAATAATTCAAAGTCTCAAAAATAGCATCCGACATCAGGCGCCAACAACAACCAAAAAGAAGAGACCAACATCAAATATGAAGAGCTAACCAACAGGAATCTAAAGGGCCAAATAATCACAATTGTGAAAAAGAAACATAGAGAATACGTAGTAGGAAGCAAAGAGGGGAAAAACCAATAAAACCACAATGAAAAAGGAACAACCATTGTCAGCCCTTTCAACAGAGAAGAAGATCAAATAAAAAAGGCAACATAACCAAAGACTAACAAACAACACCCAAAGTCAGCCAAAAACAGACTTCAACAACAATAAGTTAGGAGACATGAAAGGCAAAAAAAGAAACTACAAAAACTGAACCACAGATAAGACCAAATGGGAAGTGAAGAAGAAATAACAAAAAAAAATACAAAAAATATGGCCTCAAACCAACTAAAGAAGAGGGAAAGAAAAAGAATGGAGAAAAAAGGAAAACAACTATAAAAAAAAAGATCAGAAAATGAGCTCAGAAACTTACCTATAGGAAATATTTAATTTCCTTTCAAATATCATAAATATCTAAAATCAACAGCACCAAGATATTTAAAAGATGGTAGAAATTTAATAAATAGTTGAAAAACAACATAGCTCAGCCCATACTTAATAAATCAAGTGTAGAGCTGAACTTAACAATAAAGACATGAAGAACAAACAAGCCAAATTAACAACTAATAAAGAGAAAGCATTAGTTGAAAGAGAATCCATCTAAAAGGAAAAGAAAACACAATAGGATTAGCTTGAACACAACAACACTAAAATGACCTCAAAAACACATTTAAAAGGAAAATATTAATATTCATTCCAAATGTCATAAGTGTCTAAGTTTATAGAAAGAGAACAACTATGAAAAAACCAACAAAACATATGCATCAAACACAACCCATAAAACGCCAACAACAATAACCCAGAAGATGAAACCAACCATAGAAAATAAAGAAACAACCAATAATTACAAATTGAAATCATAAAAATCTGGAAGAAAACCAACACAATACAAAATTATAGAGAAGATCAAGTAAGAAATAAAAAGAAATAACCAAAAAATCTTAAACAGAATAACAACAGTAAATCATCCACACAAACTAAAAGGAAAGAATAAAATTCAATCAAAATATCATGAATATCTAAAATCAAATGGCCATATATATTCAAAATATGGTTGAATTTTATTAAAAAAAAAGGGAAAAGGAAATAAGGAAAGCACATCCAAAATAATTAAAAAAGAATGTGAAGACAATATAAAAAAAACAATAAAGATCAAATAGAATAAGGAACCTAAATACATGAAGGAATATTATCTCTACATTTATATATTTTACTCTTTCAGTTAATGATCTCTTCAATGTTAAAAGCCATACTTATCAATAGAAAAAAAATAATTACTAAAATTTCTTGCATTCCTATCCCTCCAAATATAATAAGTAATTATGTGAACAACTAATTAGTAATATCAAATAATATTACTAGAGGAAAAAAAAATCCACTTGAGAGAGAATCTATACTAAATTTCCACTTAAAAGATGGAAATTCTAATAAGGAATACATTTAAGAAAAGTATGAGCAAAATTACACTCAAAAGAAAAGATGATTTTGAGTTTCATTATGAATTTAGCATGAAACAAAAGAAATATTAATTGTAATACATATAGTCATCAGAACAACACTTGTTTTGAGACTATTAAGTAGAACATTCTAAGTATTAATAGCATATATAATAGAGTAACCTTTAAACCAGATATATTTATTCCAACCCGCAATAAAATAGATATCAAAATACAGGCTATAAATAAATTTATGAGTGCATTTATCATGAATATTCTAAAGGCAATAAGTAAAACAAATTTTAAAAGGAATACTGGGAATAGAGTTTAAATAAAAAAAAAAATAAGAATATTACAAGAGTAATGAAAATTACAATTGTTGTTAAAAATAACTTAACTAACTTTAAAGAAGGGAGAACATTAAATCAAATAAAAACATCATTATAAAACTTCTTGAAAAGAGAAGAGCCATTCAATTAATGCTTAAAAAATAAATGAAGCTTGCTATAATTAGAAGAAATTTGAAATTGAAAACAATTCTTAATTTTAGAAGCCACTTCAGATAAATTCTTCCAAAACGAAGAGGAGTCGCTTCTATGTTTAATACAAAGAAACCCATAATGATAAAAAAAAAAAAAACAAGTAGTTAAAAGAGAAAAAGAATTAAAAGGTCTCTATTTAATTTTATATTTACTCATTAAAATAATCATATCAAGATCAGGCAAACAAAGAGGACCATAAATTTTAGACTTAGAAGTTTTATGCCAAGAAATAGTATGGAGTTTAAAATTATAATCTTTATTGAAAAAAAAAAACTATGATATAAAAAATATTTCTTAAACATTTAAAAATATTAATAACATAAAACCAATAATGTAAATAACTCTAAATACTATGTTTGAAAAGCCGAAATCTACCGGCAAATGATAAAAGTTTAAGTTTTCAACCAGCATGCCAACTTTCCAAATTATCTCATGACTTGGAACAATCAGCAACAAACACCATAAAAAAAAATTCATAGGCACACCTAATCAATACCAAGTTAATGATTTTAAAGAATAACCTCTAACATGATAAAGATAGCTTTGAAAATTATATTAAACGAATTTTGAAAAATAAATGACAAATATAGCTCTTTTTGCTCTCAAATTAGTAGACTTGAAGAGAATATCAAGAGTGCAATTTAAATTTTTAATAGAATTAACAAAATCTTTACAAAAAAACTAATAATTCATTAGTATAAATGAAATGAGAAATTTTATAAATATCAATAACATGATTAAAAATATTAAAATTAGAACTATGAGAATCTAATAGGAAAGTAAAGCATCAATCACAATGGTGAAAAGATAAAGTGAAAGAAGGCACTATGTCTTATTTTAGAGGACGAACCAAAACAGTTCGTCATTTCCTTATTAATGATACCATTAAAATAAACATTAAAAAAGCAAGCCTTAATCCATTTGAGGAAACTATTAGGAAAACCCATGCTAGTAAGTCTATCAAGAATGAATTTATGATTAGCATTACCAAAAGTTTTTTAATATCAATTTTGGCTCAAAGACCTTTATTGAAATTAACAAAGTTATAATTGAAAAAATGTTCTCTTACAAGTTTCTTGTGGGTTTCGTTCGTTCCTCTTCAATGTTGCCTCTAGGGTTTGGGCTGCGAAATGTTTCTCGGATCTCTTGCTAATTTGGTACAATTCTTATGGTGTCGTCCCTTGTTCATCCATCATATAGAGAAATTTTTTTAGGTAATCATGCGTCAACTATTTTTAATGTCGCTAATTATCTTATTCCTATTTTTTTTAAAGAGCATATGGTGGACTACTCATTTAATGGGCTCTTGAAAAAGTAGCTAAGAAGAATGGTAAATTGGACATTCTCTTTCAAGAAGAAGAAACTAAGGTTCTTGTGGAACTTCTGAAATTTTCCTTAGTTGGTAAGTTTAAATTTGCTCTTTAAACAAAATTTTGCGAGCTCTAAAATTTTGCCTCTTTGGTAAGTTTAAGTTTTTGGCATTGTATAGCCTGATTTACAACCTCTTTCGTTCAGGTTTTTTCTCTTGTTGTTGGAGCCAATGTAATTGTGAAAGCTTTTACTTTAGCTTACTATGGTTGGGAACTTATTCAAGTGGAAATGGATTCGTTGCTTATGTGAAATTATTGCTGGTTGAAAAAGGATTATCCATGGATCATTCAGTTACATATGAGGAGAATTATTGAGTTGAATTCTATTATTCATATTAATTGGTCTCATATACTTTGTGAATGTAATAAAACATGCTAATTGGACAACAAAGTTGAGATACTTTTCTCAATCTATTTTTGTTTGTAGTAATTTACCTGTTGATTTATCTATTCTTTTATAGATTCATAAAATTGGTTTTCTTTTTGTTAGGTTTGTTTCTTAATGTCTTGTTTGGTTGGGTGAGTTGTATTTTTTGGTGGAGAATCTATAGGTTTTATTTTGTGTATAGTTGGATTCTCCAGCCAGCTACTGTATTTTTTTTATCATATTAATAAAATTCCCTCTGGGGTTTTAAGAAAAA